TGTAGGGCACGGGGGGGGCGGGTTCCCCCCCCCCCCCCCCAGCAGTGTGTGAATGGCCTGGATCTGCTCTCCACCCCTTTAATCAAACCGGTTTGGCTTCCTCTTGACTCTGGTCATGGCTGGTGTTCCTCCCCCCCTTCTCTCCATCTCCTCTCTTCCCACAGTGTTTTCTGGCCTTCCCGACTCCCCGCACCCACCCCGCCACCCGCAGCATGGGTGATGGGTGCAAAACAGGAGGGGAAGGGCCCGGGCCCGTGAGCAAAGGGCTCTCCCACCCTCGGCCGTGTTGACTCAGGGCCGTGTCCTACAGAGGTCACGACGCCCAGCGCCGCGCCGGGAGCAGGGAGCCGTGTGCACATCTGCCAGCCAGCGTTTTGCTCCAGCGGAGACTGCAAACATCTGTCACCGCTTCCAGGGACAGGAATCACGGCCTGTTTTAAAGGGAAAGGGATGTGGGATCTGGGGGCCGAGCAACGGCACCTCTGCTCCGACACGCTGCTGTGCTGCGCCGCCAGGCTTGTTCCTGTGCCAGCTGCGAGCCCTGTCCGAGAGGCTCCAGGGAGGATGTTCCCTCTTCTGCTGTGGGCACGAGGCTCCCGCGCGGGCATTGCCAGCTGTTTGGCCAGATGTCATCACCAGCCTTCCCAGCACATCAGCTTTATGGAGAGGGCCGGAGCACCATCCACACCCAGGAGCGCAGGAAAGGGGAGCGGTGGCCATCGCTTGCAGCCACCCAGAGGCGTGCACCGTGGCTGCGCGTCACGGCACAGCTGCGTCCCACCCCAGAGGTTGCTGCATTGTGCTGGTGGGTGACATGGCTCCTGTCTAGGACGCACATCAGGGCAGGGGGGATTCCTCTCCATGCAAGGTGTTGGTGTCCCCCAAAATCCACTGGGTGCCCGGCGGATCAGGAGAAAAAGCCGTAGGGCTCCCAGTGTCCGGATCTGCGGCACCAGGAAGCGAACACCAGGCAGGGATGGAGCAGGGGGATTTCTTTCCACCTTCATTCCCCCTTGCCTCGGTTCCAGGTTTATTGATGATTAAACACTGTTTTCCGAGTCTACAACCGCGGGCACATTAACCAGATCTTATCCTAAGAGCCGGCAGCAGCCTGGCCGTGGCGCTGGCACCTCACTTCCCAAGCAGCTGCCACGGCTCATTTATCTTCCAGCTTGAGGCTGATCCAAATCCCGGGTTACGGCTGCTTAATTAGCTGCTAAAAATTTCCTGCTGGACTTTTTTCCTGCTTACGCAGGCAGGGCTTAACCTGGAGCACCTCAGGGTATGCTCTCTCTCTCCTGCAGGGTGCTGCAAGCTTCCCTGCAGCAGTGCCCAGGGAGTGCAAACTGTGAACTTCCCTGCAACAGTGCCCTGCTTTGCCCAGCCTGGGTCCCTGCACAGTGTCTTTTCATGCCAGGGTAAGCAGAGCTAATGCCTTCCACTGCCTTTGCTCCAAAGCTCCCCAAGTGCTTTGCAAGCCACTGGCCCCCACCAGCCTGCCCTGTCCTCCTGATGGGGAAACTGAGGCGCACAGAGGTCTACACTGGGTGTCTGCTGGCTTTGGGTGCCCCTGTGCCCAGGCACCCACCTTGCAGCAGCAGGGTTTGGTTCCCAGAGGTGCCCAGTGCCCACTGATCCCATTGGCTCCAGTGTGATTTGCCAGAGATGAACTTAGGTGGCAAATCAGGTCAGAGGGGCCAGGTACTCTGGGGTACAAAGGTGCCCAGCTCTCGGTGATACCCCGGGGAGTTAGGCCCCCAGCAGCCTCAGCTGATTGGAGCCCGGTGGGGGTGGGTCTCAAGCCAAATCAGCCTGACAATTTGCAAAACCCTCCACTGAGTTGCTTATCCAAGGTCACCGTGCGTGCGAGCCCGAGGCCGGGCTCCCAGGTGCTCTGTTCCCAGCGCCGCGCTCTCCCTAAACACAGCGCTCGCTGCTGGGGCTGGAAGCAGACCCCAGATGTCCCGTTTCCCGGTGCTGCCAGCCTATGCACCCCTGGGACACGCTACCTCAGCTCGCCGGCAGCTTGCCACATGCTGTCCATTGCCCATGCTGGCTGGTAACCCTACCCGCATCAGCTCTGCCCCGGTCCCTGGATTGCCGTCTCTGCACAGCCCGGGCTCCAGCTCCCGGAGTCGAGTGATCCTTTGGATCACCCAGCCCTCCCGCCTGTGGCGTCACGCCTGGGAACAATACATCCCCACCACGTCCCAGCCTGAAGGCAGCAAATGACAAGGACAAGCCGTTTGCTGGGGGTTGTAGCTGTCATGATGCTGAAGCCAGTCCCCTGCCCTGGGGAGCCAAGGCAACAGACAGAGCCAGGGGTGTCCCCGACGGCTCCTGTCGGCCTGGCCCCAACCCTCGCGCATGCTGGGTGTCTCCGGGAAAATCTGAGAGCATCACCTCACCCCCCCGGGTTGCAGCGAGGCTGGCTGAGGGTTGGATCTGCTACGGGAGGTCGGGGTGGGGGCCCAAGCTGAGCTGCTCTTGGGGCAGGGCAATGCAACCTCTGCAGCCTTTTTCCAGGTGCCACAGGTTTGGAGCCAGCCCGTCGTTCCCGGGGGTGAGCCTATTCCCGGCGGAAGCTGCCCCCTCGCAGCAGCTCCCCGGCATACGTGACCGTGTGGGGCAATAACGGACCGTCACGAGAGAAGCGAGGCAGCCTCGTCCCCACGGCTGCCTGGGGCAGGCCCCCGGGGAGCCCGGCATCCCTGCAAGCCTTTATTTGTACTGGTAAAACCCAATAAGACGGAAATGCCTGCCAGCGTCCAACAGCGCGTATCGGCCCCGCTCCCAGTCCAGCCTGGGCACCCTACGGTGCTGCTAATAACCGCGCCTGGCTCGGTCCCTGGCTGGCAACTGCAGCCGTCCGGTCCCCGGGGCACCGCCAGCCGGGTGTTTTGCCTGGTACCATCCAGCCCCCGCCCGGGGATCCCAGCCAGCAGCCGGCTGCCCTCCGGCGGCCCCACGGTCCCCCCCGCTATTGCTTCTCCAGCTGCCGGTACTTCTTGCGCAGCACAGAGACCTGGTCCTTGAAGAGCACGGGGTCGAGGCGGAGCTGGGAGTGCACCAGCGGCATGTACCCGAACCCGGCGGCGAAGCGGTTGACGCAGGCCTGGCGCTGGGAGAAACGGAGAGGCCCACCGGAGACGCCTGCGCTCTGGGATGCCTGGGGAGACACGAGCAGAGGGTGAGCTCGGGGCTGGGGAGCGGGCAAGGTGTGGGGTTGCCACCTCAGAGGAGTCGTTCCCACGGTGCGTTAGAAGAGGCGGCTGGAGCCGTGATCTGGATGTCGCCTGTTCTGCTATGGGGGTTTCCATGTTTCGGGGCTGTGCTGGGGGCTGCCCCCCACCCCTCTGTCCACAACAGGTCGAGGCGGGGGGTTAAGCCCTCCCCAGAGGCACCCAGTGTTGGCAGCAGCCCCGGCTTGGGACTTTGCCAGTGCTCCTGCTGGGACCCCAAGCAAAAGCTCCTGGCTAGAGGATCTTGCACATCTGCTCAGGGTCAGCTCGATGTCACATTTGGGGTCAGGAAGGACTTTCCCCCCGTGCTCAGACTGGTACAGACGGGAAGGGGGTTTGCCTTCCTCCGCAGCGGGGGCACGGCCTCTGCTGGGGATCTCCTGAGTGCGTGTTAACAACCTGTTACAGAAGCAGGACGTTGGCTGTCGCGGTCCCCCTGCTTTCCCCACGGCAGGTTCGGGTGTGATGTCTGGCGCGGTGTCACGGCTGACTTGTTTCACTGCGCGTTTAGATGATGGATTTGTACAGGATGGTTTGGACAGGGCTGATCCTGCCTCACGACGTGACCCCCCAGCTCCGCTTCTCTAGGGTTGGGTGGAAGCTGACCCAGGACTAGACAGAGCCCTTGGACCGTCGCCGCTGGCGGGGGGGACAGGATGGAGAGGGCATCTCCATCTCCACTTCCGGGGCTCGGCTGCACCTCCCCTTCACCCTCTCCCCACGCCCGGGCATGGGACCCAGGTGTCCCCACCTGCTGCGGGGCGGCCTCCTTGTGCTGCTTCCTCTGCGTCACCTTGACGGGCGGCAGGCGGGTGACGGCAGAGACGAGGAAGTTCATCAGGATGTCCTCGCAGTCGCCCAGCTGGTCGCTCAGCTCCCGCAGCCCCACGGGCAGGTAGTGGGTGAACAGGCTGTGGTAGTACCTGGGGGGGAGCAGTGCAGAGCCAGGGTGACCCCTAGGCAGGGGCTGGGCTGCCCTCGGGGTATGGCGCACAAGTGGGGGAAGAGAGGGCTCATATGCAGGCTGCAGGCTGAGAAAGGAGGGTGACCGCAGCCCTGGACCCCCGAGCCCCCCACCCTCCAGGGTGCTGCAGGGCACCCAGCCCCTCCAGCACCAGCCCACACTTTCCTTCCAAGGGGACGGGGAGCCCATGGGGCCTATGCCCCAATTC